ACACATTTAAGTTCAAACAACTTGTAAAAGTGCATGTAGCATCCTATTACCCCTTTAAACAAAACTGGAAGCATCATGCCCAAGTTCATTGATCCGTTTTAAATAAAGAACTCTTAAAGGGGTCATATGATGCTATTTTAAAGATCATTATTTTGTGTATTTGGTGTAACAGAATATGTTGACATGCTTTAATGTTCAAAAAACACATTATTTTTCAAATACTGTACATTATTGTAGGTCCTCTATGCCCCGCCTCTCTCAAACACATCGTTTTCAACAAAGCCATCAGTGATGATGCAGTACACAAGCTGCGGTTAAGACAGCTGACCTGCTATGATTTCTGACAGGCAGTTCACGGGTTGTGCTCTTCTGTTGTAAATACATCTTAACAATGATTCCTAATTGTATCTACTTCCGGAAGGCCAAATAAAGTGCTTTTGCTTTCGCACTGAAACACAGCGTCTCCCTGACATGGATGCGTCAACACAACTGCTGTTACTGAAACCACGCCTTCTTTCTTTGCGTGCACATTTGGGCGGCGTTATGCAAATCTTTCCACATATTGACGTAGACATGTGGGGGTGTGTTAGAACAAGCTGTTTTAGGTAGGTGTGGCTGACTCTTTTATAAAGAATATCTCTTTGGATTTGAGACTTTAGTCTTTGCAACTTTACAGATCTTCTTTATGCACCAAGAGCTTGTAACACTTCAAAGAGAAAGGAAAATTTGAAATTTTGTTCAAAAGTACAAATATCTACAAATTCTTAAGTTAAGATGCAATTTCTATAGATTAAAAATTATATTTAGCCTTGTTTCCTGGGGGAAACAAGTGCATTTAAGTGCATTTTAAGTTCATTTGATGTAAGACATGTAAAATTGTCCACCATCGGATAAGAAAAATAATCTTAATGCAAACGGAAACAAGAATATTTGTAATTTCTTACCCCATTGGTGTCACGATCTGCTACGGTGCGGGAACACGGAGCAAGGAACGAGGAGACCAAGAGTACAGAAACCAAGGAATTTATATTTAAGTGCATTTTATGTAAAACGTGAAATTGTCTGCCATAGGGCAAGAAAAATAATCTTAATGCAAACGAAAACAAGCATATTTTTAATTTCTTACCCCACTGGCAGATAATTCGCAAAATAAGAAAGATGCGCTTCAATTATTTTTCCACCATGGAAACAAGACTAAATACCTTATGTCTTTTTTATATAGAAAATGCATATTGATTTAAGAATATTTAGATATTTTGACTGGAAACAAGAAGACAAAAATTCTAAGTAAGAAAAGCATTTTTTGCAGTGCATGTATTAATTCATTACACATATTTTCATCATGCAGACTCGGTCAAAGTGACAAAAATGGCATCTCCTCTTTATACAGGATCCCGTAGACGAGGAGGCTGGATAAATTAGTAGGGAGTTGTTGTTGTTTTTTTTGCCATATTCACATGCATATTTATTTGAGCGGTAGCATTTTAAATGGTAGTTTTCTTTAAAACATTGGAGATGCAGAGCACATTAGTAAGGCAGCTGTATGCAGACTGATAAGGAAAGTGTACGTCGCTCTCATGCTATTTCTGAGAATTTTTTCCTGGGCACAAATCCGTCAAAGAGGAGTTCCACTGGACTGTAGGTCAGTGTTGTAGAAATCGTTTTAAATGAGGCTAATCTGATAAATTATGTTCACTTGATAACATCTTGCTGCAACCTCTGGAAGTAACCCAATAATTAGAATTTTCTTCAGGATTTCCAGTGTGGTTGGATGCATTGATGACACGCATATTCCTATCATCGTGCCTTCCGAAAATGAAACCGATTACTGTAGGGAATGGAAGGATGCCAGATGGAGGGGTAGTACGAGATATATGCCGTAACCACCACCACAGCTGTTAAATAAACACAAATTATTTACAATTGATTTGGTCATCTTTATTTTCTACAAATACAAAAACAACAGTTATTCTTTTTTCCTTTTGGATTTTAAAATTCTTCTACTTGACCATCTCCTCTTCAGGAGGAGTGGTCTGTCAGTGGTGCTGGTGGTTCTCCCCCCATTTTACAAGCCTCTGCCTTCTTGCTGTCGACTGAGTACAAGTCAGTTGTTAATTTCATTACTCTAATTAAGAAATGTAACGGGTTTGATTAGAGAATATTTAATAAACCTATGTGAAATGAGCGTTAAACTGTGGACTAAACTAAACATGCTGCGCATTGAAATAGACACTGAATGATATTTAATATGTCAAATGTTTAAGTCGTGTAGCCATTTTAATTTTTAGATGCTGCTACGTTCTTTTTTTTCTTTTTCTTTTTTTGCCGTGGGATACCATGAAAATGAAATTTAGTTAAATAATTTACAGTTTTTACCTCTGATATTATAACTGATTAAGAATTAATGTTATTTATGTTATTTATTGGCTCGGAAGTATGCAGATGTCTTTTTGTCGATGCTGTTGCCATGGTGAATCATAATTTCAGAGCTCCATTGATCATGACTTCTTATAGTCGTGGTGCCCACGCTAAACTCAGAGCCAACCTACTCAAGAGTCGACTGAACTAACACAAATTAGCTGTTCTGAAACTGAAAACTCAGAGTTTCCCATCTCAGGGTAAGTCAACTCAGAGTTTGAGTTTCAACTCAAGTTGGTTGAACCTCCTTATTGAAATGGGCCCCAGGTCCACACGTATCACCGACCAACTGCGAGCTGTTTAACCCCTAATAGTTATAGACAAATAACTGTAGAACATACACACAGATCTCATGTGCAAAAAATTGTGGAAGAGAAGAC